GCTAATTGCACGTGACTTCCGTCATCATGCGCGCGAGTGTGCCGGACCCGACGGAAATAATGTCCTTCTTTTGTTCCCGTAAAGAAGGGGCTCTAAAATGAGAATTTAAGGCATAAGATTGAAGAAATCGACCAATCATAATTGATTTTTCCCCTACAATTCTACTGTGATTGGTCAATTTCTTGAGGTGTAGAGCTTGAAGCATCTATTGCAGACCGCGGAACTAACGCGGTAAATGAGGATTGATGCTCACGCATCGCGCTGCTCGTCAGCTTTAGTTCTTCACTCAAGCAGTTCCTCGATCGAGTTCGCTGACGCACGGATATTCATACGCAAACGGAGGGAGAGACGGAATGATACGGGCATCAAAGGGTTTTTACTCGACTAAAGGCCGTGGACATTAATGTAACTAGACCATGACCAAGAGTATGACTTCTGTATACCGAGTGTACGGAGAGACGAATCGTCCACCGTGATCCGTTTTTCGCCGCGCAAAATCCTGCGTCCTGATCGATAATTCGGCGCGAAGCCGCGGGAGTTCGGTCGGATCGTAAATCGAAACGCGAAAATCCGCGATAACTCCGGACAACAGCTCGGATAAACTTTTCGGAAGGTCCGACATGAGGAGATGCGATTCGTTAAAAGAAAAAGCCGAAACCGACCTCCGCCTCTCTCTCTCTTTCTCTCTTCGAGAGCGAGGAGGCTCGATCTCGCGTGTACGATAATGTAGTGGCCGGCCGCTTGTTACGTTCACTCCAATTCTCGTGTATGTAGCGTACCACACGAGTCAGGGACGACGCAATCGTTAAGACCGTATCCCGGCCAAGAATTCAGTAATAGTCATTCCGGTGGTCTCTCTTCGTACAATCCCAGGATGATTATCATACCCAACTTGGACTAACAACATATACAGGATACACCGGAAAATCCGATCCCCGATAGCGCGGCCCTATATCGATATAACCCTAATATAAACTGAGATCTGACCTGAAACACACCCACCCACCCACCCCCTAAGCTGCAAAGTAAATCATAATAGGAATTCGCCGAATGTTCCAACGCGGCTTTCTCGTGCTCGCGCAGTTTTATACACACTTCCGGATCCTGAATTCCAGAGAGAGATACGCTCTTTTCGCATTTTTCGTTAAACGAAATAAACACAAACTGTCCTATGAAACACAGACACATGTATTTCGTTCCGTTGCGATCGTTAGAGAAGAATCTCAATCTTCAAGCGTTCTCCCGAGATTTTCTCTCTTTCTCTTTCGCAGAAGGAAGCCATCGCGCGCCTTATCGTTAAAATTTCAGACTAATTCAATGGTCGTTAAACTCGCGGGACGAAGTAACCAGCATGCCATCGTTTATATCGGCACTCAGCGCGGTCGTTTCTACAGCGCCGCCAGCATTGTTCTCTTTTGACGGTAACACTGCTCGCCGCTAGAACTCTTTTTCGTCCTTTCGACATACGATAATCGGTGCGGTAATTAACGTGATTGCGTACATGCGTTGATGATGATATATCGCAAAGCTCCTTTCTTCGATACGCTGATAGCGTGCGTAAAACGACCTCGTTTCGTTATCAGGGTCGCCACTTCTGAACGTTATTGACGGATTATTGCTGCAATTAATTATTTTCACTACGAATACATCTGAAGGAAGCGATTTTCATATAACACATTACGACGTGCACCGAGTGACACGGAGATGGGCAGTAAGTGGGAATCGTAATTAGTTGCGGAAAAAATTCCCGCACTCGGAGAAATGACTTGGTAATAGCAGCTAGATCTCAGTAGTTCGAGCTTTGACGTCATTGCTAAAGGCAATTAGAGGTAAAATGTATTCATTCGCTATGAGGTGAAACTTTATTAGCTGAAATTATTAGCACAAGTAATTAAGTAGCTTGGTTATCTGTATTCCTCCTCTGATTATACTATATATAGACAATATGAAACACGTTTCTATCAATAGATGGAATGATATAATACCTAAAATGACTGATTTATGATTCAGAAATCTCGGGTTCGAGTTCATCAAGCATATATATTATACAATATACAGGATGTCTACTCAAACTGAGAAAAAAGTTCCTTGAGAATTCCCGGATTTTTCAGGAAATTTGTTAAAAAATCCAGTTAAAATGAAGGTATTTTTAAATATGTTTAACAAACGAATATGTATTTATTGTGCAAAGTCCTTAATGTTCTCCATTAAAGCTTACAAATCCTAAAACAAAATTAAGAGTCGTTCGAGTTTCATCAGCATACAATAATATTTTAAAAACATCTTCTGTTAAAAAAAAAAGAAAAAAAAAACAATAAATCTCTAGTGGGGAATGAATATGATCTTAATACTGTTGTGCGATTTAGCTAATATTTTTTTGTTGCAGCGCCCAAATTCGAATAGCTAATAAATTCAGCTGTGGTAGCAACGACATTAACTGTCCCTATCTCGAAGTCACATTTCAGCTGTCACAGCTAGATCTTAGCTCCTATGGCTAATTCATTCTCTGAGTGCAATCGGAAGAAAAACCCCAAGAAGAATTTGAAAGTAGAAGAAATCGAAAACACGATAGAATTACACTTCGTTTCTCGTTTCCTTATATCGACGAGATTTCCACCATAATAGGGGATCCTTTTCGAAAGCGTTCGCGACGACAATGGGACGTCTCGCGAATTGCATGCTCGAGAGAAGCTCATGTTCGAGAATCGACGAAAAACGAAGCCGCGTCTCTGAGCACACGCGATCGTGGAAATTTCTAACTGTAAGTCACGTCGAAATCGTCATAACAGCCAGCACAAAGTGTGTGTATCTGTTTGTTCGTGTGTGCCTCTCACACTTGTTTCACACCTTGCCTTGATCGCCAGCAACCGATATTTTCACCTATCTAAAAGAGAGACGCCGAGGACACACGCACGCACACGCGCGCGTACATATGCGCGTGCGCGCACACATCATCACAATTCGCGTCTCGAGATTCACCACCTCCTTCCTCACTCTCTGTCACTAGAAGTAGAGTGCATGCGACGAACGCGTGGTGGTATAAAAAACTAGGCACAGTTACAAGCTGAAAAACCAATGGGACCTTTTTCTCTATCGCCTCGCTCGAACCGGACTCGTAAATTTTCTCAGGTTCTCGCACGTCTCCCCACACACGACGTAACCCGCTCGCTGGTACGCGTGTCCGATCGCCCAAGATATATGCTCCTCTCACAGGTATTCCCCTGGTAGCTCGCGAGGCGGTCGGGCCGCCCCATCTCTCTTTTAATAATAAACGCCCGGAGCCCGAGGTAAACGAATATTCGTGAGCGTGGCAAAACCTGTGCGCACAGTTTCGTCGTATTAGCCGCGAACAGCGCGAATCCGCTGAATCCGCGGAAAGAACGGCCGAGAGATGCTCTTCTTCTTTCTCTCTCTATCTCTCTCAGTCTCTCTCTCTCTCTCTCTCTCTCTCTACCTTCGATCGTTGTGCTCTTCCTCTCTCGAGCAGGTCAATAATGGATAATAAAGTTTCGCGTGCTAACGACTGTCTCACGACTTAACTTAGATTAGCGCCCGGGTCTCCCCCCGGGGATCTGAGCTGCGTGTATCTCGAATTACTTGCTGCGTCGCTAGGTAAATAAGTTCACGGATTAATACGGACGAGGCTTAGGTTCCCATATTAACGGAGATCTTAGTGGCTATCGGTTGGTCCATAGCCGACGTCTACAAACGAATGATACCGGGTGCTGTCACTCTTTCCCTTTCTTCGCTCTCGTCGAGCGAATGAATTTCGCGCGTACTCTAACGCGTAGTTCTCTCACCGGTTGCGTTTACTTATTAATTAATTAATTAATTTTATTAATTTTCTTTTTTCCTCGTTAACCGGATTCTACGGTTGATCCTTAACACGACCGCGCGAACTTCAAACGGAAAAGCTTCGCCGAACGCCACGTTTACGTATCTACGTTTGAGCAACTTTTCTCCGTTCCCCTCCCCTTCTGCAACGCGAACCGAAAATCATATGATCGTAGCTGTTTCGGAGACCCATTGTGCGAAACTGCGAGACAATCGTGCGCCGTTTATCCCGCGTTTCGTTTTCCGCCACCGATTCGAGGGATCCTTTCCCACATTCTTTCTTTTTCCGCCTCTCGCGAGATTGATTGTCCTGGTGAGTTCGAGTCGCACGACCGAATAGTGTCACTCTGTTCGCAACGCCGAGACTTGTTTAACCCTTTAACGGTTATATTTAGCGTACGTAACGCGGCTGCGCGAACACGTGGTGCGTGTGGTGCTGTGGATGTGACTTGAACGAAGTTACGTTTGACCGTCGAGAACAGAGAAGTGAGATAACAGGAAGAAACGTCTGCTCGTTCAGCTGTTCGCACGCTGGATTAGCCCCCCGGCGACGGGTCGGGGGGTCGTCATCTCCCGCGTTGCGCGGGAACGATTCGACCGGTTCCTAAAGGGTTAAAAATGATTCGCGCGCGCTTTAATCACACTCGCCCGTCCCTTAAAGTTACAATTATCTTCCGAAATTCCCTACGTCGCGCCTTCGATTTTCTATCTTATACGTGTGTGTCATAACGTTATTTATTACTAGGACATTAACCGTGTTCAACGCGCGTTAAACGGCCGTCCGAGTTTCTCTCTCGTTGACGTTGAGTGATCGCGCGCGTCCTCCGTGAGATAGTAAGATATTCGCTTTCCGAGTTTAATGCATTTCAGTATTACTCGCTAGGTATTACTCGCCTACAGGGGAGGGGGAGTAGTCGAGGGGAATAATCCTATCGTGATCGAATAATATCAAAGTAAACCGGCTCTCTAAAACGTGTAACAAACGTATCCCTAACGATATTTTTTTACGCTAGATTTCCTCCTCCACAAGATTTTGATCATTCGCTTGGGTTGAAACAGCCCGGAACAGAGACGAGTCGTCCGTCCCCCCCCTCTCTCTCTCTCTCTCTCCCTCCTTTCCTTCTCTTTCTGTCAGCCGTCATTGACGTCCCTTCCGTCGAACGTACCCGTATAAACTCTCGATCCCGACTGCCGCGCGACCGCCGAGAGCTCGCCCTCGTCGTCGGAACAAGATCACCCGCGCGCCTCCTTGCAAAGGTCGAGTGGTCACTACGTAGTTCGCGAATCCTCCCTGGTGAAACCTGCGTTCCGTGCAGCGGGTAATGAGAGTGCCCACACATGTACACGCTTGCTCGCGTTTGCTCGCTTGCTTCTTTGTTTGTTTGTTCGACGAAGAACGGCTGGGTGAGTCTATCAATTCTACGTGTGCGCTCAATTCCACGCGCGACTGCAAAGCCTGGCCTATGATTTCTTCTACTTCAGCTCTCTCTCTCTCTCTCTCGAGCGTTAGTGTCTGGCTGGTCGCTGGTCGGCAGCGTGTCAACGCTGCTGACGACGTCGTTCCCTCTCGTCCTTCGTCTCGGACATCTCGTCGTCGTCCTCGTCGTCATCCACGTCGAGGCTCTGAGCCTCCGTGAGGAGGGGCGGCGGTATGGTCGCCACGTCGAAGCTGGAATCCGTGCTGGAGACTATGTGGCCGTCCTTGATCTCGAGGTCGACGGCCACGCGGTGCCGTCTCTTGACGTTCTGCTGCCGTTTCCGGCGGAAGGCCCTCTGGCCGCGGTCGGGCGTGTGCGCCGGGCTGTCCATGCTCGAGGAGGTGTCGCCCTCGCTCTGCGGGCTGCGACTCGACGAGTACGGCATCGTCTTCGTTCGTATCTGCGTGCGGATCTGCATGGGCGGGCTGGAGGTGGTCGATTCGCCGCTCAGGCTCGTCGTCGAGTAATACGGGGTAGATTTCGCCCGGATGGGCACGACGACCGGTCGCTCGGTCGACCTGGTGCCCTGATACCTGGCCGACTCGTGCGGACTCGGCTCGGAGAAGCCGCGGTCGAACTTGCCGGCGCGCCTCGCCGGCTTCGTCATCATCTCTTTGCGTTCCTCGGACGACCAGTCGTCCTCCATCCTCGGCTGCAGCGTCAGGTCCGCGTACTTCTCGTGCATGTCCTCCGAACTGTCGCCGCGGCCCACCTCCATCCGCACTTTGTCGCAACTCGAGTACTTCATGGCGGGCACGTTGTCGTACAGCTGATCCTCCTCGTCCTCCTCGGGAATCGGCAAGGCGGTGTCGTCCGCGCAGATCGTCTCCTCGTCCGCGATCATCTGGAAATCGTCGTCGTCGTCGATCGCCTCGTCGTACTCGTTTCGCAGGGTGATGCGAGGCGGCGAGATGTCGGCGGCCTGCTGCTCGTCCTCGTAGCGGCGCAGCCGACGGTGCTCGTCGAACTGGCTCTCGATGAAGCGCCGCGCCTCGTCGAACTCGTCGCCGCGAGCCGGGCCGTCGAGAGGAGGTGCCGCCTCGCCACCTTCGAACTGGAAGGCGGCCGTCGCCGGGGGGGAAGGCAGCGCTGGCGAGAGCGGCAGTGGGAAGGAGGACGGGGAGGGCGGTGACGGGAGGGAGGAACTGTCGGCGGTCTGGCACTTGGAGTTCGGCCTCATGCTCGTCGCGCTCCTGTCGGACGTCGTGGTGTCGCTCTGGCTCTTGTCCGCGGCTATCGTCGAGTAATACTGCTGCGGTATCACGGTGGTGCTGCCCGACCAATCGGAGATCGAGGCGCCGAGTTCCGCCAACGAGTTGTCGTCAGACTTGGTGCCGGAGTACTGGCAGAACTGGCGCACGGTGTTGTTCGAGCTGGACCATTCGGACATCGACAGGCCCATCGAGGTGTCCTCGCTGTGCGACGAGCCGGTTATGTACGAGTTCGATTTCGGTTTCACCGCTATCTTCACCGTACCGTCGACCGTCGCGGAGGTCGAGCTTTGCCCGTCCTCCAGCAGGGTCGAGTGCAGATCGTCGTGCAGAGTTCTGTTCTCGTCGCTGGAGTCGCTGTCCGGCTGGGCCGGCGGCGTCTCGGTGCTGTCGGTCACGGTTACCTTCACCGCCTCCTCCGGCTTGATCTCCATATAGAAGGTCTCCACGTGGCTCACCACCGGCGTGTCGAAGACCGGCGAGCTCGGCGGCGACGGCCAGTCCTCGGAGCTCTGCGGCTGCAGCCGCGACCGCCTGTTCGCCCGCGGCGACTTCGAGTCGTCCTCCTGAGCGCCGACCACGTCGATGGGGATGTCCGGTAACTCGGAGGACGTCCTGCGGTCGTCCGAGACGGACGGTAACGCCGTGCCGGACGGCGGGTCCGACGACAGGGACGGCTGATGGTCGCTCGATATCAGAGATTCGTCGTCGATGCTCGGCGACCTCGAGCTAGGCTTGAAGGAGTCCTCCAGGTCGCTCTTGTCTTGTTCCGACGTGGTCGACCGCTCGGATATCCTGGACAAGGTGCGCGACAGCGAGAACGCGCCGTAGTTCGCCAGGATCTCCGGCCCGATCGGGTAGATGAAGGTGCCGGGGAAGTCCGCGAGGTCCTCCTGGAAGCTGTCCTCGTTCTGCCCGTTGCTGTCCTCGCTCTGCGACTGCTGCGCGTTGTTCTCGTCCTGGGGCGCCCAGCCCTCCTCCAGACTGGAGCTACCGGAGCTCTCGAGCGGGAAGGACTTCCACGTGGAGCTCATCTCTTGCTTCAACGGGGGGGGCTGCGAGCCCCCGTTGTTGCTCACGTCCTCCTCCAAGGAACCGCTGTTGCGCGCGCCCTCGATCATCGCGATCTCCCGCCGGTCGATGATCGGCTGTATCTGCCCGATCCCCAAGGGCCGCGCGATGGAGCACGAACTGGAGTCCGGGTCTTCCCTGTCGGGCGTCCAAGTGTTGGTTTCCTCGCTTCTCGAGCGCTCGGTGCTCAGCCGGAGTTTCCTGTCGATGGACAGGAGACGATTGGCTTCCTTGGCCGCCGGCTCGTCCTCTGGCAGCTCCTCCGTCGCCTCCTCGTCCTCCCTCCTCATCTCCAGGTACTCGGGCGTCAACTCCACCTCGACCAAGGTCTTCTCGTCCATCCTGTCGACGCCGTAGTCGGGCGAGCTCATCTCACTGTCGACGCCTCGCGTCTGCACCTGCGTGTCGAGCGCGTCGAGCGTGTCCTCGCTCGTATCGAGCGAGTCCAGCCGCTTGTTCTCCTCCTCCTCCTCCGGATTCACTTCGTCGTCGGAGCACTCTTCGATGGATATCTGTATCGGCGACCTCACCATCTCCGGAGGCTCGTCCTGATCGTAACGCTTCCCGAGGAAGGGTTCGTCGTCCTCCCTGACCACGCTGATGGTCACGTCAGGGAGAACGTCGTCCCTCTCGGAGTCCTCGGCGGTGGTGAGCTGCGTTTCCGAAGGAGGAGCTCTCGAGCTTTCGCTCTCGACGGCAGCAGTCGCCGGTAGCTCGGCGGCGTCGGTGACCAGCGGCTCCGCGCCGGACTCGGCGGAGCTCTGGTCGATGAACTTGGTCGCCTCCTCGTCCGCCACCCTGGCGCTCTCCGCGATCTTCAGCGGCACGCGCTCCAGCTCGTACGGTATCAGGTCGACGCTCGGCACGATCTCGTTGCACTCGGTCAGCGGCGACTCCAGGTACTGCGCCGAGGTCTCGGTAACGGACAAGGAATCGGTGCAGATCTCCGGCACGGTGGTGTGGTCGGTGCTGTCGGACTTGTGATTCGGCGAGGCCTCCATCTGCATCGACTGCACCTTCGCCTGCTGCGCGGCGGCCGCGTTCTCCCGATCCTCCATGTTCTCCGACACCGTGTCGTCCTTGCTGGAGAACGCGTTCGCCGGCGGCAGCCGGTGCACGGAGATCACCGCGGCGTCCAAGGACTTGGCGCGTCGCTGGGCGGTGGGCGACTGCGTGGCGCCTTGCCGCTGAAGCGCCCCGATGCCGCTGCCCTCGGAGAGGCCGAGACGCGCGCGGGCGAACAGTATCGGCGTCTGCCCGGGTTTGCGCAGCACCGTCAGTGGCGACTGATCCTGAACGAGCGCCGTCTTCTTCAGGCTTGTCGGTTCCTTGGATCCGTCGACATCCACCGGCTGCTGACCGATCACCACCACGTCGGGCTTGACGCACGGTTTGGCGGCTTCCTCAGGCCTCGCTTTACCGCGCGCCACCACTTTCGCGTCCTTCGACTCGGCCGACTTAGCGGCGATGCTTCTCTTCGGGGATATCTTCTCGACCGAGTCCTTCTTCTCCGTGCTGCCCAGGCTCTTCGATATTCCCAGGGACTTGGGCCTGGACCTCTCGGTCCTCACCGCGCCTTTGATCAGGTCGTCGTCGACCGAGGCGGACTTGGCGCGCGTGCTCTTCGCGTCCTCCTTCTCCTCTTTCGACGTCGAGAACGGCTTGTCGGACAGCCTGGTGACGGACTTGGATCTGCCCTTCTGCACGATGCTTATCTCCGGCGCCACGTCGGTCGAGTCGATTATTATGATTTCCTGCGGCATCTCGCCGAGCTTCAGCTTGGACTTGTCGATCTTCGTGCTGACCGGCGCGGCGCGCGACTCCTTCGACGCGGCCTTCTTCAGCGGCGGCTTGTCACCCTCCAGCGACTTGGACTGTTTCTTGAAGTCCTTCTTCGGCTCGGACTTGACCTTCCTCACCCTCTTCGGAGATACGTCCTGCACGAAATGCTTGTTCTCCATCTCGGGCGAGAGCAGGGTGTCGATCGGCGCCTTCTCCTCCGCCAGCGACAGGGACTTGGATCTTAACGGCTCCGCGTGCGGTCTCAGCATGAAGGGTACGAATTCAGGAACTTTAAGGCTATCCAACTCTAGAGCGGGTTTCACAGGCACTTCGTCCAAAGGCAGGTCAGCGACCGGGTCGACGAAATCGTCGAATCCCGTATCGATGATCTTCGGCCGCGAGATCTTCGTTGCGGAGTTCTTGCTGACTTCCGAGAATCTCGACTCTATCCTCTCCAAGATGCGCTTCGTCTTCTCCGGTATGCTCGGCTTCTCCAGCGTCTTCGGTTTCTCCGGAATCGGCGGCTTGATCGAGGCCGAGATGTGAACCTCGGCCACCACGGACTGCAGCACGCTCTCCCGCTTGCGGTCGTCGTCGGACGAGTCGTCGACGGCTCGCTTCGGCTGCTCGGCCGTCTCAACGGCCGGTATCTCCGGCAGCGGTATCTTCTCGATGCTGTCCTGCTTCTCCAGGCTGTCGTCCGGCATCTTCAGGCTGTCCTTCTCGGCCTTCGCCCGGCGCTCCAGGTTCTGCTTGATCTCCATGCCGACGACATCGGCGAAGTTCAGGGCGGCCTTCAGCTTAACGTCCACCGCCTTCGCGACGTTGGTGGGACTTCTCGGCGCACCGTCCTTCTTCTTCTGTATCACGGAGACGATGGTCACGTTCGGCTCGGTCGGCGACTTCTTCGGCGAGCGTTTCTCCAGCGTCGAGATGATGGTGACGTTCGGCTCGACCGGCGACAACTTGGACGGTTTCTTGTCCAGGCTCGAGGACTTCTTGCACGTATAATCCTCGATTATCACCTCCGCCCTGCTCCGGTCCAACGACTGCGACAGCCTGTCGGAGAGCTGAGTCTTCGCTTTCGAGGGGCTTCGATTGGGCGACAGACCGCAGACGATGCTCTTCGGATCGGTGGGCGAAAGCTTCGACGTCGGGCTGAGGATGCTCCTCGGCTTGTCCGAAGGGCTCAGGATGGACTTCGGTCTGACGGCGGTGACGCTCTTCGGCGGCGCTTTATCCGGGGACAGCTTATTGCCGGGCTTGTCTGTCGAGGCGAGCTTGGTCAGATCGAAGTACGAGATGTCGGTGACCATCTTCAGCGGCAGCTTCGGCAGCTCCTTCGCCTTGACGTTCCTCGAGGTGGTCGTCCTGCTGCTGTCCGACTCGGACTTCTCGTCGGACGCGGTGCCGTTCATCACGTGCCTCTTGTGCAGCGTGTACGGAATGTCGACGTTGTTGGGCTTCTGCATGGCCGCGCTGTCGGAGAACGGCTCCTCGTCGCCGGAGTCGGCCGGGGTCAGGTCGATGGACTTCTGATGCATCAGCACGTGCCGTTTGCTGTTCGAGCCGAGTCTCTGCCGGGCGGGGTTCGGGTCGCTCTTGGTGCGCTCGACCGGCGTGTGCCCGGGCGGCGCGGTCTCGTCGAAGCCGAGGACGACGCCGCCGACGATCTTGGGCTCGTACTCGGCGAACACGGCGGCCTTGGGGAAGGCCTCCTCGTCGACCTCCGCCGCGGTCGTCACCAGTTTCGCCTGGCGCTCGCGCTCGCGCCTCTCGTCGTCCTTCCGCGCCCTCTCCAGGCTCTTCCAGTCGTCGCGCTCCCGCGGCTTCTCCTCCGGCTTGCTCCTGCTGCTCCTCCTGCGCTCAGCGCCGTCGAAGTCCAGGCACTCGAGGCTCCTGCCCTCCCGCGACTCCAGCCGGTGCTTCCGCGAGTCCAGCTTCTTCGGCCGGTGGTCGTAACGCTCCAGCGACTTGAGACGCTCGATCGCGCGCGGGTCGAAGTCGAAGGTGGACTTAGGCGAGTCCAGCCTCTCCGCGCTCATCCTCCGCTGCTCCTTCGAGTCGAAGGTGTGCCTCTGATCGTAGTCGATCGAGGCCGCCCTGCTCTTCCGCGAGTCGACGCGCAAGCCCTGAGAGTCCAGGCGGTCGACGCTCTTGCCGCGCATCTCGTAGAAATCATTGTGATAAAAGGCACTCTTCTCCAGCAGCAGGTGGTCGTAGCTCCTCTCGATGCTCCGGCGCAGCTCGGCCCGCCGGCACTCCCTCTCGAGCCGCTTGCGCTCCTTCTCGACCTTCGCGTCCGGCGACTTCCTGGACTTGTGGCCGCGACCCAAGCTACCCGTCTCGACGTGCGCGCGCGGCGCGTGATCCTCCAAGCTGGCGATGCTGCGCGCCCTGGTCGTCCTACCCCTCGCGCCGTCCACCGGGCTGAGGTCGTCGTCTATGCGCGACTTGGGGCGCATGATACCCTCGTCCCTCAGGACCTCCGAGTCGACGTGGGTGATCTTGTACTTGGGCTTTAGGCTCTTCAGCTCGTTCAGGAGCGAAATCTTTTGCTTCTGCACCTGCAGGATCACGGAGTCCTGATGCGGAACCGCCGTCTTCGACGGCTGTTCCACGGAATTGGCGTGACGCGTCTCGAACTTGCGTTCTATCTGCGTGCCCGACCGCTGTATCCTCGACTCGGTGATAATGTAATCACCGTCCGACTTGGCTGAGTACCGATCGATGGACTTCGTTCTCGCGTTTTTAAGGTTCTCAACGAGCGCGGGCTTGTGCTGTTTCTCGAGCGTCGCTCTCGACGATCTGTGCTTGACGAAGGAATCGGTCTCAGAGTCCATTTGGAACATCTCGTGCTCGATCCCTTCGTCGCTCTGGTCGGATATCGGCTCGTCGTGCGGGCTAGAATACGACTCCGGATACTCGAATTCGTGCTCGCGTTCCAAAAGCTCGTAAGAATCGTGCGAGAGATCGTCGTGCGACAGATCCCCGGCTGGGCCCGATTCCTCATGACCCGATTCGGTAGACAACGACGACGTTCCCGGGTAGGAACTGCTGTACACACGCTCGGGGACAGAATCGTGATCTAATGAGGGTAGTTTCGAACTAGCGGCGCTATACGAACGATTGCTCTCGTCGTAACGTGTCACGGGGTTATCTAGCTCGCCCTGCGAGGGCAATTGGAATGGCTCTAACGGAGGCTCCGACGGCGCGGCGACCTTGTCGTCCCGCGGTCGCGCTTTACCGGAATCCTCGAAACTAGAAGCGTACAGCTCGCGACAACTAGCCGACCGTTGCCAGGGGTGTCTGGGCAGAGGTCGTGGTGGTGGGAATTCAGGGGGACTGCTGTTAGAGGGGCTGATACGACCTGTTGATGAAATCCGTTGTTGACTGGTAGCATGCATCTGCCGCGGTGCTGGGACCTGGCTGGGGGTAGCTGGCGAATGGACGTCGATAGAGGTGAGCGTCCGAAATGACGTAGCTGTGTCTTCTCGACGGTGAATCGTCCCGCCCATCGAGACACTCGTCACAGTCGTCGGAGAATCCAGTGTCATCGAGCCGCATGACAGAGACAGAGCTGGGGTTGCCAGGGCTGGAAAGATCAACGTGTGCCGTGCGTCGTCAGTGCAACACCGAGTGTACACCGCTGAATATTTCGCGCCCGATTATTTTACATCAGAGATACGTGTGTTTACGTACAAACTTGTCAGCTGTGATCCTTCTATGTACGTTATTTCAATCACGACTATTATTAGCGAATCAATCAAGGTTAACGTATGCTTATTTCACGCAGATTATAAAGGTGTGTGCGCGCAGACCACCTTCTTCTCGCTCCCCCGACCTTCTTCTCCTCGTGATATCAAAACTGATCGATACTATATTTAGTGTCGCGTCTATCGAAATGATGAGATTGCAAATGTTTCGATCCGAAGTCATCCTTCCGCGCGCGCACACACGTTTGAACGACCGTACCGAGATTGATATCAGCGAACTGTGCGATCGCACATCCACGCAATCCACCACGTGAATGTTGCGATCTCTTCACACACACACACACACACACACATATATATATATATATAAATATATATATATAAATATAAATATATATATATATATATATTATATATTATATATATATATATATATAATACCTCACGAACACAAAAGACCTCACGCACAAAAAATCCGTTTAAAAACAATCTCTATTTAAGATACGTTCTATTCTACTCTACTATTACAATACGTCAGTTATGATACAGTGAAAAAAAAATGAGGCTAGAAACAGGTGGACAGAAATAGAGAGAGCCAAAGGGCGGAGAAATTAAAAATAAAGCGTTTGTTGTGGAGGTTGGTGTCGGTCATGGTACATACCAGGATCGCCGAGGGGCAGGAGGGGGTGGGCAGAGATGCTGGAGCTGCCCATAAGGGAGCTGCTTGGAGTGGCCCCACGATAGCCTCCCCCCTCCGAGCCCTGCAATGCCCTACCACCGCTAGTCTGCCGGAACGAATTGGACCTGCGAGCAAGAGAGAGTCAAGTTCAGCATCAGACTTAGGCTATCAAAATGCCAAGCCTGTTTCGGAACCAACTTATCCCTTCTGTCTCTTTTCTTTTTCCTTTCTTTCTCTCGTTTTTTTTTTTTTGGTATTCTTTCTCTTAACGATCGATAACAGTAACAAAGGAAAATAAAAGGTATACCTTCTCGACTAACCGGTAATATGATACGAGGGAATTGTGCGGAAGATATCGATCTTCTTATTAACCCACGTATTAAAATAGGATGCAATAAACAAAAATAGATCACACTTCTGATACGATACACGGTCAACACCGCCATTTCAAGACTTGGCTGATTTCGACTACAATCTAGGTAGTCTCGTTGTGAATGTTACAAAAGCTTTCGCTCGACAAATCGACCAATCGTTGCATGTATAATGCATGTTGAAATTTTAACGATGACGTCAAGTTCTACATCTTGAGAGATCTATAAAAATATAAAGAGAAATAGAAATATCATCTTTTCGATGTTCGAATGTGTGTCAATTGTTAACTAACTATGCGTATTGCTAGCAAATCATCGTGAAACACGTTGGATATCGTAAGTGCGAAGGAAAACTGTGTACTACCGTTGAACTGAAATTTGGGAACAGCCATCATTTTTTAAAAGGAAGTAAAGTTGTAAACGCGTGAAAAAGACTGTCGCTCGGTCTTACAGACATCATAAATGAAAAATATATCTTAAAAACATTAATACCAAAAACTTTAATATTAAAATATCTGCGCGTTAGCGAATAGCCATACGTGCATTAATATGTGAAATATATAAGGAAAATATTTGGCGTCCAAAAGCATAAATAAATATACAAATTGGAGAGTGCACTTTTAAAATAAACGTATATCTAACGTCACTCTTAAACCTTAAATGCAACGCAACTTTTACGACCATATATTGGTATTTGTAATGATGATCAAGATTTGTGCCGAATCTAAATTTTCTGTACATTTTATACAATATTGTGACTTTCGAAGTTAAAATCCAAATAAGAATACAATCAATATCATGATAAATGTACACAGACGTCTCCAACAAAAGTCAAATATATTTCTGATATACCAATAAACTGACTACTTTGGCTTGCTTGTAACAAAAGAAAAGGAATATTTAATAACATCACACACACTTGTATATTAATCTTTTCGTCAGACATATTTCGACTGAATATTTATACAGGTGTTTTCTCAACCGTGCATCGCACAGAGAATGAAAATCTGCCAGCAGTATGTACAACAATTTCTCTTTCTTTCTCAAGTGTATTGTAATAATAGACTAGCTTCTATTTCAGAACTGTCTACTGCTATGGACAAATATCTTGTTGGATAGAACTGTTAAGGGCAGTGAAGTATGGTACTTTGTTGTGTATTAATTAGATACAACAATAAATAATTAGTGATCACGCTATTGAGAGAGGGTACACTGATCATTCGGGTTTATCGTGCCTGATGATGAGCCTGACTCCCCGCCACCCCTGTCCGAGCAGGCAACACTGACAAACGGAAATATAAAAACGGACATGGTGAGCAGTTTTCGCTACGGAAATTGGAAGTTTGGACCATATATATATATAGATATATATATGTATATAAATACCGACTTGTATCCCGGCAAAAGCAAGACCGTGCCACCTCCTATCTTACCCACAAGATTAGTGCGTTCATTAATTAAAAAACCTCAATGGTACAAACCAACATTAAGGAAACAGTACGGAATGGTTTGCATGCACTACCTACATATTATATGGGTATCCAAGAACTTTCTTAATTATTCAACAGCCTATATGTCAATTTTCCGAATCAACTTACCTTTGAAACGTTTGCCTCTTCACGTAGTTGTCCCGAACAAATTCGACGATTTGTTTCTGAGTCTTGCCGCTATACCTGGTAATATGTAAAAACACACAACACAGTAGAAATATTTCTTTTTGTACTGATTGTCTTGTCATAAATTAACATATATTAAACTACCATGTATATTTTTCTAGGAAACTTGTACAACTCTGTACTCAGACAATTTCGAAAAGATAATGACTCAGAGAGAGTGTTAATTTCCTATCTAAATGAATGTGGTGATATCCTTGAAGATAATTGGACGTACCTGAACGACGATCCACGACTAAGCACTCTGGTCTTCTGCCTTACGACTCTTTTCACTACGGAGCAACGAAAGAAACCATGGTTTTCTACGCATTTTTTCCAAAAGTTTTTACACTCATTACGTCCCTCAAAGAAAAATTCGACCGTGTCCTTGTAATAACCCTACGAAAAAAAGTAAAATAAATGTTATCTATTATCAGAGAAAAGATTTTTGTTCTATAAATAGAATATTTCATAATTAATGGGTGTTAATATGAAAAAAAAATAGATTATATATTGCGGATACTCACGTAACCTTCAGGATGCAATTTGATTAGAAAACGTTTCCGTTTGAAACTGATTTTTCTGATTTTGGCCCAACTGAATGTATTGATTTTATTATAATTTTGAAAAACCACGATCCCCATATGTGCCACTGCTAGATTTAGCGGAACGTTTTCATGGTCCTAATGTAAGAAAAGAATTCAGTACACCTTATATATGCAATATAAATAATGCACAGAAATATAAGATATTTTACAATCATTCTCACCTTAGCTGGATGCATTTTCATTCCGTACAGTTCGCAACGCCGAGCTGTCTCTAAGAGGTTGAGATCTGCCTCTGCAGGAGATTGGCCTCTGTTGAAATTAAAAAAAAGAAAAAAAAAAGAAAACAAACATTAGGCATATTTAATATCAGCAGAGTATCGTTTATCGCTTTTGATAAAGCATGACAAATGTCTCTTACGCATGTTTCTTATGATTCTCCATAATACGTCGTTCCAACTCTTGATCTTGGTGAGGCACAAATTTATATGTTGATAAATATGTATGGTCTGGATAGTCTTCTATCACATAGTCCCCGCATTCAGCTAACAAACGGAAGGCAATGATCATACACGCAAACAACAAGTGGTTGTCACATAGAGAATCTTGCGGATGGAAATGCTAATAGTATAATTACCCTGAACGATATAACTGGCCATCAATGCTGCTGTGTTATCATTGCATTGCAGTAAACCTTGAGCTAAATCCCGTTTGATTTGTAGACAGAATAAATATCTTGTAAACTCCTCCTCGAGTTGTGCAGGATCTGGCGTATAAAATTTAACACAGAACCTCAATAGAGGATCGATTAGAGACAAACCGACTTGTCTGCACACCGGTTTCTCCAAATCCAACCAATACTGTAAATATCATGAGTTTTAACGGCCTCTTTCGTCGCGCAAGACATTTAGAATTTACATCACAGATAATATCTTACTCTCGTTAAGTTCGGCTCTTGATATTCAAGACCAAAGTAATCCGCTTCTAAAAGATGCAATTGCTTACAAACTTGATCAAACAACACTCTACCTAGTGCCTTGGCCTGAAATGTTTAAATTAAAAGAATCTTACTAATTATGATACAATTCACGTAAATTTAGGGAGTGTCCAATCGTTAGAACGGAAACTTTAAATATATTTCGATGTTCCTATATTGTATTGCATTTTATAAACAATTTCATAATTTTTACATATAAAGAATATATCCGACATGATCGTATATTTATGTGACTAATCTCTGATTATATTATCAGATATTTATATAACGTAAATATACATGTCACACGAAACTTATCAACTAGAGTCACATAATGACGCATTAAAAAGTACGCGGGATAAACTAATAGTTTCTAGTGTAATGAAAAACTAAGATGCTAGAACAAAATTATTTTCTGAAGAAATAAGCAACACGTTGCAAGCATTGTAAATAAATAATCAATAAATGAGTATATATATATTTTTCACATATAGGGATCCCCCATTTGATACATTATATGCTCCAATAGCTTATTCTCCTGGAAGTATATGCGCACACTATACAACATATATAGTAAGCGCTTTTGCCACGCAATATAAAAATACATAATAAGTCGATACGAAATTTTTAAATCCGTACAATAAAATATTTCAATTACTAAGTCTCATTCAATGATATTCCGAAGGCTTTTAAGGGCATCTTCATCTCATATATTAATTCTTCAGGATGCAAGTAACACTCGGTGACAACAATGTGTTAACCAAATTACTAGTAAAAATGTTCTGGAGGCGATTAGTAATGGCATAAAAGAGAAGAATCTTATGCATCAGAGTTTTAAGTTAAGCGGCTTCACGGAGATTCTAGGGGGCTTTGTAATCAATGACTCTTGACCTGGATCCATCAAGTAAATAGTTTAACATGCCTACACAGCATGTATAGGATAGTGAAACTAACACAAGTACAGACTTCTTCTTGATTACATGAAAGATGAAGATGATTATGAATAAAAAATTCAGGTCATACAGGGGCAACGTTTAAAAGCGAATATGTTGAACGATGCGGCACGCCGCGTACACGTTTCACCGGCATTAAATAATAGATATTAAATTAGATACAAGTACGAGAATTTAAATTAAATTATTCATTTATATCAAACAGCATTTAAACGCACACAGATACATGACGTGTGCTCTCATATGATAGTCAATGCAATAATAGAGGAACACGTCCTATTGCTATATAGAGTACAATTATAAAGGCACAATAAGATATTCAGGCGTCATTCAGTGCCATTTTAGAACGTTTATTCCCATAATCTCTCTCTACATAGCACAAATGACTGCCTTTGCAAATAACGAAAGCACTAAAAATCGTAATACGCATGCACGTCGCAATGTTGCAAACTGTTGCAAATACGTAAGATTAAGCGATATTTCAGTAAAATTGAAAAACAAAGTTCTTTACCTGCACTTGGAACATTGTAATACTGTCATCCAACATCTGTACACGTACTGCGAGCATTTTCCCAGCTTTCCGTGGTGTCGCTGGAGGTGTTCTACTACCTCCATCCACACCAGCTGGTGTAGAATGACTGTGAGGCATCTTTGTTCCTTTCATGCCAAAACCTTCTATATCATTCATTTTCGGTCACCTATTATTTTACGAAGCGACTGTTAATACGTGCACTCTCTCTCTCTCTCTCTCTCTCTCTCTCTCTCTCTCTCTTTCTTTCTTTCTTTCTATTTCTCTCTCGAAAAGAATTCGATCGATAAATCCGTATTATGTCATCATCTGTAATAAACAGGCAACATCGTATTATCGTATGTGTCACATGGCAATGATAACAAGTTCAAAAATATTCAAAAATACATAAACACTCATATTACATATGTAAGAATAGAAAACGACTATTCTCATTAAAATATTATATGATATTGGACAACCGAATCAGCAAAAGGATAAAGAAGACCATGTCTCCGAAGAGGAAGAGAGAAATTATCGGGTTGATGCAAAAGTTCGTTCCGTTCTCTCTTTAATAAAAAAAATATACATAACATTTATTTATTTTAAGATACAATCAATCGATTAAGTATGCGTCGATTTGTTCGACGAACTATCCGGTCATCTCTCCGATACACAGTAAAAATTTTTTTATTAAGAGAAATCGTCCTGTTTTATCGTAAATTTAACAAATTATAAAACTTCTTTTTGTTTTTCGAATAAAGTCAACCGTCCTCGCCTACATTAATGCGTGTATTGTAATTATGCAGGAGAATTTTTAACTTTGTGCAGCCAATAATAAGTATAGTATTAACAAATTTACAGTAAAGCAAGAGGATTTTCAGGATCCTCTTCAAGACAGTCCACTGAAATTTTTGTATTACTTTAACATGAGGAATACGTTAAAAAGTACACGAATATGTGTTAAATTAGCATATCCACTTTGTTAAAATAACACAAGAATTTCAGTGGTCAGTTTGTAATATAAAATTTTCTATATTATTATATAGCTGCGTGAGAGAACTGATTGAAGAAACGGAACGAGCTTTTGCATCAACCCGATACAGCCGAAGCGAAACTCGCATTCTTCAAGTGTCGCGACACCGGGTCGGGAGAGTGCAGTCTTACCTGCAACTTCGTACGTCACCCGCGGACAAGAGCACGACAGCGCGACACAGTAGCTGACACTACCGATTCGAATTTAAAACAAGTTTAAAGAGCGCGTAAAGCCACTGGGTCGTTTAATCGCCAATCTCGCCAAATGAAGCACGTGAGTCTTGCTTCTGTACACCGTTCGGACCGACCGCGGTGCATCTCTTTCGAAACAACAATGATTCATCCTTACGAGGCGCCCGTCGAATACGCGGGACAACGTACTTGGAGCGGAACGAGTCGAGCACGCACGGGGCGTCTCTATCTTTCCCGTGAAGTGACGTGTTTACATAATGCGCCGTGACGGTGAGCCGCGATATAAATCACGCGATGTTCCCGTTGCTTCCTCGAGCGCGCGGCTCGTCGTCGGCTTCCGGCTCGAGTTTTGCGCGTCGCATCTCTCGCGCCCGCGAAGAATTACGTCGCCGCCGTCCGAGCGAGAACGAGCGCGGGGAGGAAGACCAAGGCTGGGCTAAACGAAGCGATTGGCCAGTCGATTGGCTCCGAACAAAAGGGTTGAAAAACGCCGTGCCGACTGACGTAAAGTCGGGGGAAGGGATAATAGTGCGTTAATGCGTGCACGCGCTCGCTCGCTCGCTCTCCGGCTGCACGCCTGCATCTCCTCCATATGTGCGTGGTCGTCGCGTAATTGCGAGTTCCTCGTACGCGCGCGGCGTACCGAAAATGGAAGGCGACGGTCGTCGCTCACTCGGAGGAAACGAAGAAATCGCGAAGGTACACGGTCCTTATCGAGCGCGTTTTGCGCGGGGAACTTCGGGGTCAGTCGTAAGAATAAACCGAGAGCTGATGAGAAGATCGGGAAGAGTGGCGAGGAACAAGGCTAGCCGAGCGAATTTATATTCGTACGTACGTTCGCCGCCGTTGATGCGCGCTCCGCTGCCAGCACGCCTCGGCCAGCACGCGCTCAGGCAGAGTTCATTGATCACTGAACACCGACAACACACTTCCGCACCGGCACCACTTCCGTCGGCTGATATATCTCTCGCGTCTTCGTCGCGAGACGGAGAACGACGAGCGGGGATCCGTCCCGTTTAATGGGTGGCGGTGCTCGCGGCCGATCTCGCGGCGCCGCCCGACGTAGGTGCGGCGACGTGTGCGCGCCGACGATGCTCGACCATCGAGCGCTTACGAGAGCCCCGAATCAGACCCATCACACACGCGCGCACACATGCACGCCGTGTTACACACCAACGTTCGTCCGCTCGCGCACACCCACTCGCTCTCTCTCTCACGGCGTTCCGCGCTCTACGGTGGGCAGCCAACCGATGACTCTCCGGCGTTGCTGTCTGAGCGCGAATTACGCGCGATACAGCGCAGTGGCGCTCAATCCGCTCCTCGCTTCCGTTAGCTTGCGGCGCGTCACGACGTCGCGTCCCGTTGCGTACGTGCGTGCGTGCGGACGCGCCGCAGGGCCGAGGTCTACCGAGGTCGCGAAGGGCGGTGGCACCAGCAGCAGGAGCTGCCGCAGCCGCCATCTCGCGGCGCATGCAGCGGGTCTGGCAAGGAAGGGAGACGTTGCCCTTCGGTGAATAACAGCGGGATTGCATCGAATGAATTCTCATCCGCGATTGATAATATCGATATTTACATGGTATCATTGAAATTGATTCCTCGCGAGTTTTCCGGTTCGTGGTGAAGTCTTAGAATGAGGTTATGTTAATTCTGCAGCACATACCTAGTGTCCAATGAAGTTTGTCGTGTTGATGGATAAGTATTTGGAGTTTTTGTTATCGCGATACTTTAAATTTAAAATAAGACTCATGCCCCAGATTTCAAGCTTACGTCCATATAAATAATTTACGTATTGTCTGCGTGACATTTTCACAGACTTTTCTCACGTAGACCAAGAGTCCGTATTCCGAACGCGCTTAAAACGATGTTTAACTCGGCGAGAAGTGAACATCGAATCCACGTCAAATTGACGTTCAATCGATATCGAAATACATCGAAATTAAGTATCGAATCAATATAGATTTGACGTCGATTCGATTTGAACCGTTTTTCGCTGAGAGCGTGCTAACGGATCAACTTATCGGTAGTTTTTAATAGCAATTTTGCTAATACACACGTGGATATCGATTTTTCCTAACGGAGCATTGTTATCACCGCGTTTAAAATACAAGAGACTAAAAATGTTTACGTCTCTTGTCTCGTTAGCCCGTTAATATCGTTGTAAGCACGTTCAGAATATGGGCCAATGTAAACTGTGTAAAATATTATTAAAAAAAAAAATATATATATANATATATATATATATATATGTATATATAAACGTAGAAATTTTTTTTATTTAAATTCACCTGTGGACTAATATAACATACATAATACTTTATCTTCCTTTTTTATTAATGTAAAACTAAATTCGCCAAATCCACTATTGATTTTTCGTAACGTCGCAAAATGCTAAAATTGTACCGTTATATTTAAATCAAATAATGTCATAAATTTTTAACAAGTTATGTTAGTTATGTTAGTTATGTTATTTTTATAAGTTAGGTTAAATTCAATATAATTACTTATATAAAATAAAATACTTTACGCATATTTAAAATATCCGTATAGTGATATAAAAGTATATATATGCAAGTTAATATACAAATGTTATCATTCAGGTTTACCTATGAGCTTTTGACAGAAACAGAATACAAAAATAAGACTTATGGCCCTGTTTAAAATTCTACCGATATTTCTTTGGCATATCTTTTTGATAATTGAAGACAGTAACGAATAATTATTACCCGTTGAGCAACGAAGTACGAGTTATTGCCTACAGGTAGTAGGAGTGGATATATAGATGTTTAACGAAAGGTTGTGCTGTAGACGTTACAATAAAAAGAAAAATTTTGTTTTCTCTTTATACTTTCTATATACTTTTAAATGTTTTTACTTCATATTTGATATATATATATATATATATATTCTATGTACTTCTCTTAAATATTTTATTTAATACTTTTTTTTTGCACTCCTAAGAAAATTACGCTGTCATATTATGCTGGAAATTTATATTTATTGTAAAGTACACGAGCGTGAAAAATGCCGAGTATGATAATGATGACCGGGAAATGAACTCGGGACCTTTCTCTTGCCACGAGAGATGTCCTTATCAGTCTTATCGTTGAATTATTCAAGCCCTACGCACCGATACTCACCCGCTCGCCTATTTTATCTCGAACAATGACGTCGCCATCTTTCCTCCATTGTATTATTATGTTTATATTTTTTTATATAAAGAACGCCATTCAAGAGGAAATATCACTGACTGGCATGGCGAAGATAAAGGGTTCGTTTAAAAAAAGGCCGAGCAGCGTGAATAGTACAATGATGTATAGCTGCGGTTTTATTATTTATATATACATTTTCTTTCTTATAAGTATATTTTATTTAATAATCATCTGAGTTAATATACATGTAAAATTTCACTCGCATCTCGCAAGTGATTGCTGTGGGTGTGCCTGAATTTAAATGAAAGTCATTTGTATTCGTGCACCGAGACCTGTGTGCACATGTGTATATGTGTGTGAGACCGTGAGTGTGTACATGTATGCGTGTATGTCTGTCTTTATGTACTCCCTACCATTTTACATAGTTCTGCGTGGGTTTTCATTTTTATTCTTCCTAGCGCGATACACACCAGCTAAGGATACTGTCGTCTATGGTTATTTTCTAAGTTCGTCCATTAATATTCACGGCTTAGCGCGTCTGTGGTTACCCCCGTGGATTACAAATAGGTGCACAGTAGAGACTAAACGACTCGATGGTACGGTCGGACGCTTATCCCGTGTCTACTCCATCATTGTTTACGAGTAAATAATCAAGTATTTCGCATTGGAAGAATACTCGTGCTAACGCCAAACTACCGATCTCTTTCTCTCTCTGATCGCATCCACTTACTCCTCGCAACTTCGCCCGCGATTGATGCCCGCCCGTCATGAGCATTTCTCGCCTATTTCGCTGTGCTATTACCGTTATTACACCTTTGCCGCTTTACGCCACTGCGAGCACAATGCAATGCCGCTCCCTGACCACGTTCCAAGATAATCGTGCGCGCGCGCGCGTGATAACACCCACCCGAATTATTCTTGGAAATTTTGAAAATAATCCCCCCTAGCCGCATTCAGCGTTCCGATTTATTCCGTGACTCTCTCCCTCTCTTGTCTCGTTCTCTTTGGTATATGGTACGTGTCATCTTGTGTATGCAAGATATTTGGCCAGTCATTGTTAAAAATCGTACAGTATTTACGTAACTTTGACGGCTTAACATACATACGCCGCCGTCGTGTTATTACAACTTTCTCGTAGAATTGTACATTCGGTGATAAAAATCTTTTAACGCTAGAAGACGACCGTGATGGCTACGGCTTTGACAGTCGGTGAACATCATCAAATCGATAATTCCCGCTTTCTGTGTGTACATGACGTGTGCCATCTGATACGTTTTGCACCCTTCCGCGAAACTCAGTATCCACCACCCACACACACACACACACACACACACACACACACACACACACACACCTCTATCCTTTTCAGTAATTAGCAGTAATCGAAACTGTCACACCTCGACAGTCTCGTGGGAATATATCGAATCGATAATCCCGCGCTTTTGTACGTGTATGTATGTTTGTGTGCCATCTGATACACGGTGATTCGCACCCTTTTGACCTCGCATTCGTCGCGCTTATAGCTCCTCTTTTCGGTTATTATTATTAGCAGTAAACGGGACCGCCATGTGTACAATTCCTTATCTAGGAAGGCTGCTGTGATATATAAGTATAGAAATGTGTGCCGGTCCTTCTAGAATTAAATATCTTATTCTCTATACGTTATATATATATATATATATATATATATATTTATATATTCGCTCAACGGTCGGGTCGAAATGTTTCCATCCTCATGTTGTGTTTTTTGTCCTTTTCTTTTTATATATATATATATATATATATATGCAGAATAACACACATTTATACAATTCTCGCGAATTACCGGTCGCTAATCAGTCTAAAGATAGGAGTCTTACATCAAATTTCAAGAATGTTCCGCTCTCAAACGTGAGATAGAGATTAGATAGAATAGATGCGATGTTAAAAGAAGTATAAGATGCTTCGGATGATAAGGAGGTATATTTAACCTTTCAACGCTGCGAAAACAAGAATGATTCTTGCGCATCTTGCTCGTGTACTTTTTGTTTCTCAATTAATCTGGTTCTTTCGACGGCTTCCCTACGTCTCCTTTTCCCTTTTCGTTTGGTCGAAAACACATTACTTTAACTTACTACAGAAAAGAAAGATAATTTTACGTACCAATAATTACGAAATATTGGAAGAAGATGCTTAAATTTTTCCAAGCGAAACTTCCCAGCGAGCATACAATATTTCCAAAAGACGTCGTGAAAACGTTCAAAAGGCATTCTAAATCCTTCAAACGTCTTTTGGATATCTCTCGAGCATTTTTGCTCACTTTGGCTTTGGAATGCCAGCGTTAAAGGATTAAAAGGACATCCCGACACGAGCAGGCACTACTATTACCACTCGATCGGGCTGCGTTCCTATTTCTACGAATTTGGTTTGGTTCTGTTCCCTTTTCACATTATCGACTGTTCTGTCTCTTAACAGGTAGAAAATATGTTCTCAATTTTCAGACACGTTTCGCACCACTTCTTCCGCGATTACCGCTCGCTGCGGAAGTTCACGACCGCAAATTCGTGCACAATTTCGTATCCCACGATAAAAGCTGCAGTACTCTGTACTCTGTGGTCTGTTTGCGTATGGGCCACTTTTCCAGCCAACCGCGAATTCCAATATCGGTCTTCTCCCCTCTGCCCCCCTCTCTCTCTCTCTCTCTCTCTCTCTCTCTCTCTCTTTCCCACGAATTTTTCCTCCGTCTCTTTCGATTAATTGCAGACGGTGACGTGACAGCGCGCGCGCGCGCGCAATTTACTCACGCGAAAATAAATAATGTTACACGCTGTCGTCGCCACTCGTGCAGAAACGTTACAGCCAGTCTGCTTCTCTGACGATACGCTCCGAGGACATACACACACGCGGTGTCAATGAAATTTCTAGATGAAACGAACTTTTGGCACTATCTATTGCTTATTGTGTGTTACAAAATCGAAGTGAGCCTCGACAACAAGTATCCGCTGAAACATACCGTCCTCGTGAACGACGCGCCGTCGGAGATGCGATGAAAAACTTCACCTTGGGCTGTGGACTTCGCACAGTGGACCACGCGTTACAAAATACCTAACCCTTAACGGTCTGCGCGTATGTGTGTCGCATTTATACAAAATCTGTCGCATTCGATGTGTATGCGGCAACTGGCATATCCGTTCCCGTTCAACATAGCAATCGAGTCCTGCGGCACGTGTCCCTTCCGCATCTGTTGTTTCCTGCCTCGTACCACGCGACGCCACCGGAAAAAGCGATCTGTTCTTTTTAGCTACGAACTGGCTACTCCAATTCAAAAACTGTACGTACACGCAGTAAACAATTTTGTGTTAATGCATTTCACATGTCCCAAACGTTTTACACAAATTTTTGTCTTCATTTAACACGAGATGAATATGTTGAAAAATAACACAAATATTATGCCAGAAATTAACATAAAATTAATACGTTAATCAATACTGCAGTATAAAATGTTATTTTAATTACTTATACATGTTGAATATCGACGCAATATGAAATGTTGAGATAACATAAACGCAATATATTAAGTTAATACACGAGTATGTTAAAAATTTAACGCAAAGTTCCCTTCCCCCAAAGGACCAGTTTTAACACAAATACAAATACATGTTTTTCCTGTGCACGAGATTTTCACACTTCACTGTATGTTATATAGTTCTTGAACTAGTACAGCCAGTTGAGCTGAAAAGATCACAGACCAAAGATCATTGCGACGAACAAGCGCGCACGTCCAAACAACAAATTTAGACCGTTAAGGATCGAGGATAAAATACTCGATATAATAGCCGCCTAAGATCGTCGAGACTACAAGTGACGTACAACTGACGGAGGACTCTTACATACATGAGATGAATTGGATACGAATATATGCACATCTCTCGAATTTACCGATCATGAGTAATAAGACATTCAGATCTATCTGGACGCTAAAGAAGGTGTG